CCTCCATCTTGTTCTTTTCCTTAATCGCGGCGCGAAACTCCGCACTGGTGGGTGACTTTGACCTCCCACCCTTCGATGTCGATCTCACGCCCTTCTGCGACGTCCGTGGTGTCGCAGGCGAAGATGATGATCTTCTCGGTGGGGATTCTCTTTTCTTCGACTCCTGATGAACATCGATCTGCTTGCATGATCTTGTGGGAGTAGATATGTCGCTGAATAGCGCGGAACCTCCGCTCCCAGGTTCATCCTGTGAATCCGCAACCATATCCATCACCGCAGGAAGAGCCATCAATCCATTGGATCCCTCTGAGCTGCTGTTCCCAAAAGTTGCAGTACTTGGGCTCGCCGAAGATGCCATTGTACCGTGTAGGTTATTGTCCCTTTATTGTCCCTGTACCCGCAATAAACCAGCTGTCTCTCTGTCCAGTGTAGAGCTTGTCGTTACGGCTGATAACCTGTCAAGAGACGGCAAGGTGACGTCCCGTGGGACGCTGTGCACCGAACCCTCAAGCTTTAATACCAACCACGTAGAAAGGTGTATACGGACGATGCCGTTATAGCCGAACCCGTGTAAACGTTGTAAGGAAGAAGGAATGATAGTCACAACAGTAGTCCTGACAGTGCGGCGCAAGCAGTTGTTTTCCTCCTAATGCCACTCACGGATATCCGCAGTCACACATCAGATCTTGAACCTCAATTGTGTCTTGAGCCAAATGGCAATCAATGGAACTTGGGAAGCAACACCAACAAGGACCTCAGAACTGCTACCCAATTTCGGCACGGGGCCTAGAGGGTTTTAACAATAAGAAAATGAATATTGACAAAACTAAAGACAGTATAAAAGAAGAAACAGATGTTCATAATATTGCTATCAAATGGGGAAGGCATGAATCACCATCCGATAATGGTGATAAGGAAACACAGGAAACTGTTAAACAAATAATGAAAAATTAGTATTTAAAGAGTAGATTTAACATAATTGCAACATTTAGTTTTAAAAGTTTAGTTTATAATTTAGTATATGTGGAAGAACATTTAGCGAACATTGACAGTAGTTTAGAGTTGTTGTTTCCAAGATTAGAAAAAGTGTTGGAGCAAAATGAAAACATACTGAACATCTTAAAGAGCATGAATATTAAACCTACATATAATAACAATAACAATTATCAAGCAAAAGAAGTAGATAGAGACAGTAGCGAATACAAAAATAAACGCAACATTTATGTTAAAAAACTGAATAAAAAATCATAAAAGAACCTAAACAATCAAGTCTGGATTACTATCAAGTCAAGTATAAAGAAGATACCAAGAAATAAGTTTAATCATTAACTAACAAAATTTCGTGTCTCAAAAGCGGTTTGTTTATTCCTGCTACTTTGTAAGTTTTATTACCCATAATATCATATTCAATTTTATCGATATTGAATATTTTATTAGACCATTTAGAGTTATACTCCTTTCTGTCGGTGTAATTACACCTTTTCTTTTGAAACACTTTTACCTTGTCGTTCTCCACTATTCTGGGATACTTTCTTTTGTTTTTTTCTCGTAGTTTAAGATTGACCTTTACAATTATTTCATTGTCGTCCTTGTGTGCTTCAGACGGTGTCATCCTTGTTGATGAGTGTGATGTGCTGTTATACTGTTTCAATGCTGGCGTTAGGGCGTCGGTCCATTTCATGTTGTTAAACCTAACTCTATCGTGAATTTTGTTTTTCATCGTTCTAATAAAATGCTCGGCCACATTTGCGTCGGTCTTCGTGACGATGTGGTTTATTCCTTCACTGTTGAAGAAATCCTGAACTTGATTTTTAGTTGCAAACGCTCCGTCGTCATCAGAATACACGGACATCGGATAACCCATCTTTTTAAAGCTTGCTCTCAACGCCTTCAAAACGTGCTCTCCGTCTCTTTCATCCATCGGTATTACATCAGCTAATTTACTGAAGATGTCAATCACGACTAAAGCATACTGTGGAACGTTCTTGTCTTTTGCTAAAGGTGACATATGCATTATGTCTATTTGATATTCAAATCGTGCGAATGGAGCGGTATAGGAATTAGTACCTCTATAATTTTTGATTTGTTTATTTGGTTGTTTCTTTAAGAAAGACTTTACATCGTCTAATGTTATTGTTGGGTCTTCTTCCTTTGCCTTCTTGTGTGTCGCTTGTATGCTTCCGAAACCCTCGTCTAAGTCGTAATAGATGTTGCTGATTATTTGGTCTTTTGTTAATCTCGCCATTATATTAAATTGTTAGAAAATATATTTTTTCAATATAAACCCCCACCCCTTAACATAAAATAAAAACTACTTAAAGAAAAATGGATATAATATAGTAAGAGAAAAAAATGACACTGTTTAATTGTGATAATTGTCCTTGTAAAAATAAAAAAATGTAAGTCTGTCGTGGCACTAGCTAATATTTTACCTGTTAATGTTTGTAATCTTATGGGTGGCTATATTAGAGTAACATGCTTTGATTGCTGGTATTTGATGGATGAAGAGGAACATTTTATGAGAGATGAAGACATTCCTGATGAAGGACTGGAAAAAGCAGAACTTCAATTACAAGTTATTAAGCTAATGCAAAATAATGTTATTACACTACTAGCAGAAAACCAACGTAGTATAAAAATAAGACATTACAGAAAACACATTGACCGAGTATTTGATATACAAGAAGTTAAAGAACGGTTTAAAAATAGAAAAATGTATTATCAAGCATTAAAATCATACTGTAACAATAATGAAAATGAAGTTTGTATCAGTTTAAGAAAATGTCTTGACATTGAAGATTTAAAAAAATTTAAACGTTGTGGGTTTAGCTTTCCAAACCTAAACAGTTGGTGGTCATATAGAAAAAACAATTATTATATGAGATATATTCTTAGCGAATTATTTGAAATTTACACAGACCAATTAATAAAAGGATACGAGCATTATTGTTGCGAGTATAGTATGAGTTGTTATAGTGGTTGTATCGCTGGTGAGATTGAATACGGGTCAAATTAACTTTTGTTTATTAATATTATCATCTTATAATATGATTAATCATCGTTTTATAATCTAACAAGAAGGTTAAGACAATTAAATTTAACATGAAACCCAGACCAGCCGACTAGCAACCCCTAGCCAAAACTACTTAAAGAGAAAAAACCCTATATATGAAGATAAAAATGAGTGAGGGTAAAATGTTAGAGAATAATTTTATGGTTGAGAATTGTGCTAGCTTACCTATGGAAGCATTGTTAAACATCGCTTCTTATATGTTTGGCAATGAAGGGTGGCAAAGACTAAAACAGTGTAAAGCATTAAGGGTCTTACAAAGGAAATGGAAACCGTCTATTTTTGAACGAGAAGGAGAAAGTAGATATTATGTGTTGATTAGCAATATATGTTTGAAAGGTGATAAAGCACTTTCATATGCGTTGAAACCACCAAAAGAATTATTAAGAATGGTGAAGTATGATGAAGAAATAAAGGTTGGAATAGAAATTAGTTCGAAAATTATGTATAAGAATAATATTTGCAACTGTAGTTATTATGCATCAAGCAAACAGAACAAGATAACAAGTAGAGCGTCATTACAATTTTATATTGAAAAAATAGTTGAAGAAATAAAACAGACTATGAAACGAAACGAAATCATTACTATAGAACATATTACATTTGAAATTTATACATAACAGAAACAATGATTTCATGGCTTAATCATAATATTTAATTATAATATGATTAAACATTGTTTTATCATCTAACAAGAAGGTTAAGACATTTAAATTAAACCTGAAACCCAGACCGGCCGACCAGCAACCCCCTAGCCAAAACTACTTAAAGAAATATTACCTTATATATTAAGAGGAAAATGAACGGTGATGGAATCAATAATTATATCAATAAAAAATGCCATGATTGTTGTCACTTCAAAAAAGAAAATATGGAGTTGTATAAATTGAATTTGCTTAATGAAATAGTGAATAATATTATTAATTATTCAATGGATGAAGAAGACGAATGTAAAATTTGTCAGGAATGGAGAGATAATCAATTTTTAATCAAATGTCTGTTGAGAATAAAAGGAAGACATAATAGAAATGTAGAAGATGAGATTTTAATATTTCTATCTGTAAATAAAATACCACCTTACGATTATGTTAAACAGTTTCTTAAAATCAGTAAGAAAAATATGACATGATTTATGATATATTATGGATGTTGGGTTATAGTCAAGAGAAAGGAGAAGATGTTAAAGAAAATATCAAATTATTTATTGAAAGTACAAAGTTTAATGTTCAGAATACAGTGAGAGATGTTAATATTATTTTTAAAATGATGTGTGAAAGAAGTAAGATTTGTCAATTAAATTTTTATCCTGAACTGAAATTATAATCATAATATAATAATAACATGTAAAATCTTATATGTTATAATTATACTGAACTTTTAACCTATAAAGGAAAATTAGGGAGAAAAACACTAACAAAACAAATACACCACCAACACCCCAGAACTTGATAACTACTAAAAGTGCCAACTCTTTCAAATGAAAAAACTGTCGGCCCCCAGCCCAACAATGAACAAGGCGACAATTTACTCAAGCGATTACCTTAAACGATTTCTCAGCTCCCCGAAACACCCCTTTTAAAAACGAATAAGGGGGAACACAGATTTGAGATTAACATAAAAACCAGAACAGGCAACCATCAACAGGCCACCCCCTGGCTAGCCCCTTTTTACCATTTTGTTTTTTTTGGGGGGGGGGGGTGGTGCAGCTTTGGGGTGTCCAGATGCGCTATAGGCAAGGGGCCAAACTGGTTTGTCAAACGCGGGTCTTTGCGTCCATTGTTTGTCTTCCGCTTGCTTAAGAATATGTTTTGATTTTCCCGTGTTGGTTTTAAAGGGAATCTATCACTACTGGAAATATGTTCTCATTTTTCCAGGGGTCTGAACCAAACGGAATTAGGGCGAGCCCTTAGCTCCGATCGCGATCGTGAACATGCACGCGAACCAGCCCGAGGGACGCTTGATCGGGGTCGAGGGCGAGCAAAGGACCGTGGAAGCGTACGAGCTCCTGTGCAAGGAATATGGCGTGTTCATGGTCGAGCTCGAGGATGCAGCCCTCCTCATAGCCAGAGACGGGACCGAAATCGCGAACGCGTTCAAGGCAGGGCACGAGGATGGCATCTCCATGACCGTGGAAGAGTGCGGTTCCAGGAGCTAGCGATTTCCCCTTACCAAAAGAGCTTGGGCTAGCCCCTCAGACAAATAGGTCCATATCAACGTCTGACTTCCTGGGCCGACATGCTGAAGGAGGGAGACCTCCCCGGTGATGTTCCCTTCGGCTTCCCAATCAAAACACCCTGGAAGACGGGTCCCTGAAACCAGAAAAGTCACACCGCGAAGGGTTCTGATGATTGCCTCCCCCGTCACCTCCAAATACCCGTCCTTTTTGTTGAGTTGGTATCATGTCGACCCTCTATTAAAAAAAGAGGTATTTGCCAGGGGAAACAGGTGTTCCCAAAAATACCCTGAGAAAAGCTGGTATTTGGAGTAGGGGCTAAATACCAATAAGCAATGGTTTCAACCATGGTTTCCAAGTGGTGCGAAATGGATCTCGCAGCTATCCACAAAATTGGGGGATTCTGAGGTGGGTCCGGCTTTCTGGTCCGAGTGTGGCCCACACCGTGTGGGAAAAGGTCGAGTTGCCTGCATTTTCCCCTCGTCACGCGGTTTCCCTAGTTCCCATTGCCCAGAAGTGCCATGTTTCGCTGGTTGTGCTTTTTGTCCAATTGAGTTGAATTCAGCACCTGGATCGCCAGTTGCTGCTTTTTTTTCCATGAACTTTATCCTAAAAACCAGCAACAGTGACTGAAAAATGCAGCAACTTGGCTATCTAGGCAGTTCCTCTTTTGCTACATTTTGGTGATTTGGTGTTTCTTCATGTTCCCTTTCAACTTTCAACCAAATTGGTGATTTGGTGTTTCTTCATGTTCCCTTTCAACTTTCAACCAAATATATCTTCCTACTGGTGCTCAGAAGGACAAAGTCCGAGCTCAGGTGTTGGGCATGAACCCGTTTAAACGGATTCCCAGAATAAATTACACCCTGACCAACTCGGATTCCCTTTACATGGTTGTTGGGACACATTTTACATGTTTGTCTATTGTGGTCTAGTGGGAAATCCAAATCCACAGCACCAAAATTGGACATTTGTTTGCTCCCCTTCCAACGTCAACCAAGTTTTTCAGGACGCCAAATCGGTCGGATTTGGTTTTCCTCGGAAGCCCGAGGGCGACCGTGGTCGATCTCGGACGATCGAGCGCGCGCGCGCCGTGGAAAAGTTTTCGCCCGCCGAGGCGGCGGGCTTAGCTTTGGAGGCAGAGACGGGGAGAGTTCGGATTTCCACGCGATGCCTTGCCAGACGTATGCTTTTGGAAGGCTTGGATCCAAATTTTAGACCCCTCCAGTATGGTTTGCCTTCAAAACACCCATGAAAAAACACATTGCTATCCTACCCCCTACTCCACATACCTGTTTTTTTTCTTCAGTTGGCATTTTTTGGGGAAAACCGATCGGTTGTCCATGGTAAAGACCAAACCTTTTTTAATAGAGGGTCGACATATGTCGACATGATACCAACTGAACAAAATGCCGGGTATTTGGAGTAGGGGGTATGCTTTTGGAAGGTTTGGCGCCAAATTTTGGGCTCTGAAAATTGGATTCGGACCCCTCCGCTGGTTCCCCTGGGGCTCCCCCCTTTAAAACCGCCCAAAACGGGGACCCTATTTTGAGAAACCGTTTCGTGCTTTCCAGCTATTGGGGCAGTGAGCCAGACTTCGCGTGCCTTTTAGACAAGGTTGCAACGAGAGGTTCGTAACTTGCCCCCATCCTCCTTGAGGCGGCAAACAGGCCTTCTAGGGGCGCAAATCAGAGAAAATTTGGTTGGCTGAATGAAGCCTTCAGAAGACCCCTTACTCCAAATACCCGCTCTTTTCAGGGTAATTATTTTTTGGAAAACCTGGTTTTCCACGGTAAATACCTCCTTTTTAGTAGAGGGTTGACATCATACCCTAAAAAAACGTGTATTTTGAGTAGGGGGGATGATTCCAGGGTATTTTTTTTTGCCGGGGGGGGGGGACGTTGGCAGATTCGGAGCCTATGGTTTGTTTGGTGGGCAAAAGCTGTGCCAGGGTCTCGTATTGGGTCTCTTGCTTCAGCATCAACCGTTCTAGTTCACCCAGTGATAGTGCCTATAGCTTATGGCAACTGGTGGCGAAAAACCAAGCTGCCCATATTTCACCATGATGAGGCCGCGTTGTTGGGTTGCGCATTTGTTTTACAGAGATGCACAGCTATATAAGCCCAGACCCATTTGGAGCAATTAATGTACAGGGGGGCGTCCATGAAACAAAACACGGCCATTTGAGCGGCGGTCCGTCTGGGCCATTTTAATTGTTTGGTTCCTGGCTTCGTATTGGTAGTTAAGGCTATTTGCTTTGTTTTGTACCAATGCTAGTAGGACCAACAGTCAATGGTTGGCTGCTCATTTGCTGAAGCTATTCGCCAACTCTGGTGGATTTTCGTTGTGGAAGCCGTGGTCATCCCGCCACTTGCCCCTCCAATGCGAGCTCCCTAGTTCACGGCGATGTTTCACGCTTGGAAACATTGTTTCCGTGGTAAATACCTCCTTCAGTAAAGGGCCGACATCATACGCTAAAAAAAAGAAGCAACAACTGGTATTTGGAGTAAGGGGTATACACCACAGCTGCGCAGTTTTCGCACTTTAGGCTTTCCGCTACGTCAGCCAGAGCCGGTTCGCTGCCTCTTTTGAAGTTGGCTTCGCCGCCGGCATTCTAGCGCAGAACCTGGTGCTTGCAAGTCTTCCACCAAGTAGGTGGTATCTAGGAGAAGCCATGTTTAAGTTGAAGGGGGAACATGTGAGACATGTGTGTTACATGCAAGGTTCACGAATTACATTCAAGTTTTTTTGTTTTTTGAGGGTGCGAAAGGATTGGTTCGTGTTAAAGGGAAGCCAAAGGGAAGCTTTTGAGGGGTCCCTCAAATTCAGACACCCACTCCAAACGCCTGACTTTGTTCTTGCATGATGTTGACCCTATGTTGTTTTTTATAAAGAAAGAAAGGAGCGGCATTGACTCCGCAAAAGTCGGGCTTTCCTAAAACTACCCTAAGGACAAATGGTATTTGGGGGACGGGGTATTGTGTCTCAAAATAGCTTTCCTAAAATACCCCTGAAAAATGTGGTTTTCCTGTAAATACCCCCCGAAAAGTGTGGTTTTCCTTTACAAACACACAAACAACTGAAGAACACGTTGCTTTCCTACCCCCCCACTCCAAATACCAGCCTTTTTCAGGGTATTATTGGATGACACAACCTGGCTTTCCATGGCAAAGACCAAACCTTTGGAGATGTTTTCCTCTTAAAAAAAAACCCATGGAAAAAGACCTCTTTGTTTTTTCCTTTAACAAGAAGCCCATGAAAAAGGACCTCACCAGGGGTCTTTGGACTTGTTTCCGGGGGTTTTGCGGCCCGGGCCCAAGAAAACGCCCATGGCCCCGGCGCTGGCGCGGCGCCTGGAGTGCCAGCTGCGGTGCGGGGCGCTGGGCAACCCGCAGCGCCTCGGCCGCGGAATCCGCGGCGAAAGCGGGGGAAGCGATTTTTGTTTGGCCTTCAACGAATGGAGGAGGAGAGAAAACGATTTTCGGGGGAGAAGTTTTCCAACTGGGTTTGGGATCTAGACCGTTTTTGGAGGGGAGTGTCTCCCCTGTTGAGTTGTTTGGGTTTGTTTGAGGTTGGTTGGTTAAGTCGGAGTGTTTGCCACACTAAAAGTTAGACGTTTTGCAGATCTGGGAGAATGCACAGACGCTTCTTGGAATTCACCTTAGCCTTGGTGGGTTCTGTTGAATTTTGGGCGGGGCCTACAGAAAACAAAAATATGTTTGCTACCTTCCAAGGAGCTTTCTGGGAGAGAACGCTTTTGTCTCGGGGTACCTTCCTTTTCCAGTTTTTCCAGGGATCCTTCTTTTCAGGAAACCATCAAAAATGCAGGGGAAACGGATCCGGTTTTTGAAAAGAACGATGGTTGAAAAGAATGGGGCATCAACCCCTAGAGATTTGTGTTTTTGTGGTTGGGTTGGGCTTAAATGGCCGCCATGTTGATTGAAAACCCAGAAAAGGTGAGAATTGCCTTAAAGGTGAAGAGGGGGAAGTTTTAGCTTCCCCCAAAGACCATGGGGGAATTAGCGAGCCCCCGGTGTTTCCAGGTCCCTCACAAAGGCGGAGAGAGCCAGATTTGTGTGTGTGTGTGTTTTTTGGGCTGGTTCCAAAATTAGATTAACACCACAGAGAAGGCGAGAGCTGAAGGGTGAAGTGGGAAGAGCAATCCAGGGATGGTTTGTCATTTTTCTGCTCTACGCTCCACCCAGAACGGTCTTTTCCTGGAAAATGTGCGTTTTTCAACAAAAGTCTCTTAAAAAGTGTGTGTTTGAAACTCTTAATGCTCCTGCAATTCCTCACGGATTCGCCCAGACAAGTGGCTTGCTGTTCCTTCCATTGACCCACTTGCCCAAAGCGCCTTCTTGTTTTCCGAGATTGGCCCTTTTTTGAGTAAAGCTCCCAAAAAAAAGTGAACTTTTTTGGGTCCTTTGGGCAACTGGGTGGATGTTTTGAGGGAACCTCTTCTGTGCCAAAGAAACGGGGGCGCTCATTCTGTCCCATGGCCGACGGCCGGCCGTCCCTGTCGGGACCAGTCCACAGCAGGGTTCCCCGCTCCGGGCAAGGGAGCCAGACCTTTCAGCGGGGGTTCATGGTTGTTGCAACGGGAAACAGTTTTTAAATCTCACTTCCTGAGTTCATGAACTTTAAACTTGTTGGGAAGACCATTTTAGTGGTAAATGTAAGGTTTGGACTTTTTTGGGGCCGTCCACTCAGCAAGTGAGTTTTACATTTTGGCTTATTGTGGTTTAGTGGATGGAAATCACAATCCACGTCACACTCCCCTTGCTGTGAACCAAGGTTTTTCCTTCCAAAGCCAGAGCGACATGCTGCTGTGGATGGACGGAATCCATTTCGCACCACTTTGAAACCATAAGTAAGCATTATTTGTTGGCATTAACAGGGGAATCATCAGAAACCAGGGTTCCGCAGGTGGTGCGAGAAGCGCATTTCGCAACCATCCACAGTATGTCTATAGTTTAAGGGTCCAGAAACCAGTTTGAGTGGATCCACTCAAATTTTGAGTAGGGGGTATACTCCCCAGTTTGACATCGACCCCATACCCGAGCCACTTTTAGGATCAGAAGGGGACCGCAAGGGCCCCCAAATCTTTCCTCACCTCAGGATTTCCATCGTGTTTTGGTATTGAGTGGAGGCATGGGACGAAGGACAAGGGGGTACGAAACGAAGCGAGATGGCCATCAAAGGCTTGTTTGGCCGAGCAAGGTTTTTATAATTTGTTAGGGGACCCCTAAAATGGGTGGTGTCCTTTTGGTGTTCCCTTTGGCTTCCGTAAAGCCACACAAGAAGGGGCCTAACAAAAAGCAGACTCGTGCTGTGGCCGAAACAAGGCGTGGCACACATTGCAATTTGGGTGTTCAAGTTGAGGTGTTTCATGGGGCACGGAATCGTTTCCAATGGCTACCCGGAATCGTTTCCAGCGGCCATGGGGCGATGCTCAGGTGGCATGACCTATGCTCCCAGTGCTTTTGCAAGTATGCGCCCGAGCCTTGGGCGGCTGGTTTGCAGGGGCTCCTTTGCCAGGTCTTGTTTTGGCCCAGGGCACGAACCTGTCTGTGTCCGCGTGTGCTCTGGCAACTCAGCTGAGCAGAGTTCGAGTTCTGGTTGCTATGTATTCGCTTGACGTTGTTCGGGGGAAATCGCGCAGGCAGTTCTGGCAGGGAAAGCGATTGCGCAGGCAGTCCGCGTAGGCAGTGCAAGGAAATCCTGCACAGGTAGGGTCGCGTTTGGCATGTGGTTTCCTTTTCACAAGCTTGCAACTAGGCAGCGGTGAGCGCATGATGCTTCGACCATTTTCATGGGTCACCCAGAAGGCGCGATGGACACATGTCAGCAGATGGTCAACGACTGCTTGTGGCCGGCCGGGTCCGCTGGAGACTTTCCGGAAAGTGCCCCCTACTCAAAATACCACGGTTTTCTTCAGGGTATTTTTGGGCAAACCTGGCTTTCCATGGGAAATACCTCCTTTCTTAGTAGAGGGTCGACATGATACCATGAAACAAGAGGGTGTTTGGAGTAGGGAGTGTTCATAACTTTGTTTGAAATCAGTGACAACTAAAAAGTATGGTCTTTGCTTGGCCCATCATGTTCAACAGTGAGAAACATGGCTTCCTTGCAACACGGCGTCGAGCAACAAATGATTTGTGTGTTCAAGTGTGGGCGTGTGCCCTTAGACTCTTTATGATGTTGAGAGTTTGAAGGGTGTTTGGATGTTGAAGAGACCTTGTCGAATTTGAGTTCTAGTTGAGAGTTTAAAGGCATTTATGACATGGGCTGCTAAAATTTGACTTGAAGCAGGGGATCAAGTCACCTCGGAATTTCTTCCCTCTTTACCTTACCCGCCCCCCCCCAACGGAGCTGAGCGCCTATCTGGTGTCTACTACCTGGCTTCCTGGGGATTATAGCAAGGCCAATCTAAACCTTCACCGTGGGATTGATTGCGTGACTGTCAGTTGATTGAATTTACTGTCAGTTGGTGGCAGCAAAAGTCGAGGTGTTGGTTTCGTTGACAGCAGTCCACGTGGCTTTTCCCCGTTTGGATGCGCGGCTCTTAAAAGGATCCACCCACCTTCCCGTGAGTAGAAACCCAGGTGTCTTCACTCCTACCCCCCGGTAATTGAGAAATCACCTCTTAAAAACACAAAACTTTTCTCAACTTGTTGGGTGACATGGGCTTTTTCTGTCTGTAAAAGATGAGATCTTCCCCAGGGCGCAGGGAGTTTAAGGGGTAAGAACACCTTCATCCTGGGATTAGATTCCTGGAAACCGGAGTCCTATATGTTTGCCACTTATGGCGAGCTCACCCATCTCTCAGCTGTTTTTTTTTGTTTTCTCCATCTTGCCATGTCAGTACTTGCTATCTCACCTTCATGGGATAAAAAAACCACTACTGGACAAATCTGGAGTCATCTTTGGCCAAACTTCAGCCAACGGGCGCAAACCGTCGCTTTCGCCGCTTTCGCCGCTTTTTTCGGGGGAAGCGTCGGGCGCTCGAGTTGTTCCGCCGAGGCTGCGCCCAGCCCTCGCGGCAGAGGCCTTGAGCCCAGGCGATCGCGCTGTCGCCGGACGTCGGGGTTGTCCGGACTGCCGGGTCGCCGCAAAAGGGCGACGCCCCAAAAGCTGCCATTGGTTTGAAGGGTAGTTTTTGGGAAAAGCCTGGGTTTTCCATACTGTTTTGGAGTATTTGTCTTGGTTTCACCCCCTTGTGTTCGAGTGTGCGTGCCTCGTTTTTTTTTTTTTCAGTCAGGGTGTGCCAAGTCATACTTGATCATAGCCTGCAAAAACGAAAGTGATTGGAGCACAAAGGGTATTGGGTGTCGGTGGTTTGGTGGGTCATCTGAAAAAACACATATTGAACAAGGGGGGGTATCGGGTGGCTAAGGGAGTTTGGTCTCAGGAGACTGGTTTGGAGTTGGGGTTTCCCAGGGTGCCTTTCTTGTCCCCAAATCCTGCAAGTTTCAGGTTGGGTCGGCCGACGCTTGCTTCTGGTGGGAAAGCCGAACTAAGCCGAGCGATTCGGAAGTCCAAGCCCCTACTGCAAACGGTTTTTTTGTTTTTGTTGTTTCCCTTTGTTCTTTTTTTCCTTGACTTCCCGGGGTATTGTTTGAAGAACCGAGCAAATTCCTATGTTACAGGGTTGTTATAATACCCAAGAACAAAGCGGGTATTTGGTATTTGGTGTAGAAGCCTTTCTTCTCCTGGCTGCTTTTTGTGTTTGACAATTCGGGGGTAAACCAAACGAACGCCACGCAGGCCCTTTCCTTGAGGATCCCACGTAGTTCACCGTTCAAACTTTGGCAAGTGGCCCTAAAGTTCCCGATGTTTTTGGGCATTCAATATGGCCCTGAGGGGTCTGGAAACCATGAGCATGAGGAGATGCTTTGTATTGGGCCCTTCTATGTCGGAAGGAGGGTGTTGCCACTGCTGTGATACTAGGACCCCCCCTTCAATGGAGAACGCGATGCTGTGTAGACGCTCTAAACATACCCGTTACTCCAAATGCCATTTTTTTGTCAGGGTAATTTGGGAAAACCGTTGTTTGTGTTGTTCTGTTCATTTGTTGTTGTGTTTTTTTGCCTTTTTAGAGGGTCCACGTGATACCCTGGAAAAAAAGAAGGTATTTGGAGTAGGGGGTATATCTAAATATTGCAGTACACCAACTATACTCAACCACAAAACCATGGTACTTCACGGTAGATCAACAAGCCCTTGTTTGCAATGTCGCACATTGTCTTGGCATTTGCTTGGATCTCTAGACTTTTTGGGAAGTCATTGATCCATATGGCAAACAACGAGTGTTTGGGCTCACACCTTCGACAAGCGTGATGATAAACAGCCACAGTTTCCATTGCTGTGTGTGTTCAGTGTTGGACCTATGATCCATGTTAAATATTTATTGCTGAACCAAGATTACCAGCCTCCATCGATACATGATATCTTTCCAGGGTTTTAGTCTTTCCTTTTACCAGACCAACCCGTTTTTGGGGCTACCGTTTGTTTGACCACCACAGCCACGGCAAAACCTGGCTTTGTGGTTTTAGCTGTGGACTCTCTACATCCCAGCTCCAATTCGATTGATCTCCCTTCAACCAACCCTCCAATGGTTTTGAGACCCCGAACCGATTCCCGGGGTGTCTAATGCTTCGGGCTCGGGTCACGCTGGAGCCTCTGGGAAGGAAGTTGCGCCAGGCTTAGGCAAGCCCACGGCCTCGGTGCTGGGAGCCGGCTACGAAGGCCGCCTAGATCCGAAGCGCAGCGAGCAACCAACAACCGGAACCTCCAAAACCCTTAGCCACCCGATCCCCCCTTCTTTCAAGAGGTGTTTTTTGTGTTTGTTTGTTTTCAGATGATCCACCAAACCACCGACATGCCCGACACCCAATGCTCGTTTTGCTCCAATCACTTTGGTGTTTGCAGGGTACGGTATGATCGCGTATGATTCGGCACACCCTGACTCAAAAAAACCAGGCACGCACACTGGAACACAAGGGGGTGAAACCAAGACAAATACTCCAAAGCCATATGGAAAACTACCCCCTACTCAAAATGCCAAGGCTTTTTTCAGTTGGTAAATTTGGGAAAAATTCTGACTTTCCATGGTAAATGCCTCTTTTTTTTAGTATTCTTTTAAACCGAGGGTCCCATGGTACATACCTCCTTTTTCAGTAGAGGGTCGACATGATACCCTGAAAAAGGGGTATCCCTGTATCCTGAACTAAATGAACGTTTTTCTACATGGTTTTCCAGGCTAAAAACCATCTAATGGGTAAATCCAACGAATTTAGCCAACGAACATACACATGGCAAAGGCTTTCCTGACCCTGCAAAAAAGTGGGTGTTTGTGTGGTGGCAGTACAAAAAACCTAACAATTCGCAGACTAGAGGCTTTCCGAAGATTCCCTTGCATGTGGTAGAACCATCCCTGCCCCTTATACTTCAAATACCCGCTTTTTCAGAGTTTTTGTTGGAACGCCGATCGATTTTCCACGGTCAATACCTCCTTTTTCGTTGAGGGTCGACATCATACAAATAAACAGCGGTTATTGGGAGTTTCGACTTCCATTTGCTTAATAATATGTTCTCCCACCTCAAATGTAATTTGAAAGGAATCTATCACTTTATTGGACATTTGTTTTTTACTTTTTCCAGGAGGCTTAGGCAAACCTGCTACTCCAACATCCTACAAAAAAGCGGGTTCCAAACCATAACCTGGTTTTCGACGAGTAGCAGGTGCAAACCTGTTTTTTGATGCCCACCCCCCTTTTTCGGTTCTTCGAGTACCAGGAATGGAAGTCAAGGATAGCTGTGTGTGTGTGAACTCGCCCCGAGTTCAGAGCAATCCGAATTGGACGCCTCGGAGAGGCACGGCTCTCCGCTCGGATCGCCGAGCTGAGCCGCGGCCTAGCGGCGTACGCGGCGCGACCGGCGCCGAGCGCTTCCTGGCGGCCTGGAGCGCAATGCAGGCGGAGGGTGTCGTTCCTCAAGGACAAGAAGTGGACGTGGATGGTTGCAAAAATCCATTTTGAACCAGAAACCCTGCTTGTTGATGATTCAGAAGTGGAAATACCGCGGATGGTTTCGCGAAATCCGCTTTTCGCGAAATCCACTTACCATTCAGAACCCTGGAATGATTTCGGATGGTTGCGCTAAATCCATGTCCGCGACAGCACCACCATTCAGAAACCTTGGCATGGTGATTCCCCCCGTTAAAAAACCAAAAACCAAAAAAAACACCACCTTTCAGAAGCCTTGGAATAATGATGATTTCCCCGAAAACAGAAGAACAAAAACCTATAAACAAAAAAAGAAGAACAAAAAAGGCAAAACCAAAACAAGAAAACAAAACAACAACAAACAGTTAGGGTTTCAACCCCTGGTTTCCAAGTGGTGCGTTCGACATGGATTTCGTCCATCCACAATTTTGGTTCTTCTCACCCATTGGTCGACTGCGATTTGTTTCTCACTCCAAGAAATGGGTACCTGGATCCGAAAGAACTACCCGTACAAATGGGGTGTGCTCAAATGTATGCTTGGTGCATCCCCCTCTTTCATGGGTAGATTGAGGGTGCAGGTATCGTCGTGGTTTTAGGAATCGCAACCCCAGACACCTGGGTGGGGCCTTTTAGTCCAAAATGGCGCAAGGGTTTGCGGTTTGGTTTCCCTTTAAAGCCAACCTGGATCGCCAGTTGCCGCTTTTTTCCATGAACTTTACCCCAAAAAAACAGCAACAGTGACAGAAAAAAGCGGTCGCAACTTGGCGATCTAGGAACAAACCAATTCGGTAGCAACTCAAAAATGACGTCGACCCAAGTCCGGAGATCCCGCGTTGGCCCTTCCAGCACTTTGTGAGCTGCCTGTTGGGTTTTCTTTCGGTCTCCGTCTAAAACCACTCCATACTCAATTTGTTATGGGGGTTCCCCCAACAAATAGCAGAGGTTGTTTTGCAAGGTGAAAAGCCACTTTTTGAAGTTGCAAAGGGAAACCAAACGATCAAAGGGATCGTCACTTTGAGGTAGCCCACATTCCCAGTGGGTTGGTCTTGCTGTTTTTGCAAGTTGTTTTGTTTCCAATCCGTAAAAATCGACTACCAAAAAAAGGGTACCGTTCCTTGTTTCCATCAAACTGTCCAGTGGTGCATGGTCCATTGGTCGACATAAATGAGGGTGGCCCCTTTTCGTCGGCATGCAGATCATGGGTTCTTTAGATCCGGGGTTCCAAATAGGCTTGGTCAACCGGTATATGGTCTATAGAAGGGTACCCCCTCCAAATACCAACGCTTTCTAGCTGGTATCAGTTGTCAACCTGTTGCAAAAAGGTTTAGTATTTATCATGGGTTCAACCGATCGGTTGTCCAAACAATACCAACTGCAAAGGTACCCCCTACTCCAAGTACCCTCTTTTTCAAAATTTAATGTTGATTATCTACTAAAAAAGGAGGTATTTACCATGGAAAACCGATCGGTTAAAGCCTTGGTATTTTGAGGTTACGGCGTTACGGGGCCCGGTAGCTCCATCATTCTCCCAGTTGTTTGTAGGCATGAGACCTATGAGCTCAATCAGGCGGCAGCCATGCTCAAGCTGACGCCGCTGCCCGCTTTTTGGCTCGGGGGGCCATACGGCCAGCGGTGTTTGGCGCACCGAGCGTCGCTCGGATGGCGCCCAGCTGCGAGAACCGACAGCCCGCGCTGCCGGACAGCAGCTCGGCGTCAGGAAACCGTCGAGTCGGGTTGCCAAGGGAAATGCATGGCTTGTATATATATATATATGAGTCAACCTCAGAATTATCAAAGACCACTTTATCAACGGCGTTTCATTCAATACTGGTTTTTTGCATTTTCCTTGGAGAACGATAGGGGACTCACAAAAAACGATACCCCTGAACATGGTTTGTGCTGGACCTTCGAGCTGGAGCTGCCGAAGTCTAACTTGTGTACCGTGCCTGTACTGAAAGCTGCGACTTGCGACCTGGAGGTTGCTGCCAGCAAGCAAGCCGCCAAGACTGATATATGATTACCGCAAGGCAGAGAAGGCTATTGTGTGTTTGCTTGGCTCTAACAGCTTATGGAAAATTGTGAAAATTTTCGTCACGCGACACACGCCCAGAACGATACCCCGGTCGATACCCCGTCGATACCCCGAGCATTGGCCCGAGTTGCGAATGTGAGGCCTAGTGCATTTGCTTACAAAAGACTACGCGTGTGGTTCCAGTGCTGTGTTTGCGTAGAAAGTTTGTCGGGTGCTTTTCGAGTTCGCGCGGCGCTATAGCAAGAGCGCTTGGGCACGCGTGGTCACCGCGAAGAGGGTTCACCGGGCACGTTCCAAATTCGCACGGAGTCGCAGCGAGGGCGCTTTGACACGCGCAATCCTCGCAGAGGGTTCATTGGGCACTTTACGAATTTGCACGGCGCCACAGCGAGAGCGCTTGGGCGCGCAGGATCACTGCAGAGGGTTCACCGGGCACTTTCCAAATTCGCACGGCGTCGCAGCGAGGGCGCTTTGACACGCGCAATCCTCGCAGAGGGTTCATTAGGCACTTTACGAATTTGCACGGCGCCACAGCGAGAGCGCTTGGGCGCGCAGGATCCCTGCAGAGGGTTCATCGGGCAGTTTTAAAATTCGCACGGCGTCACAGCGAGGGCGCTGTGGCACGCGCAATCCTCGCAGAGGGTTCATCGGGCGCTTTACAAATTCGCACGGCGCCACAGTGGGAGCGCTTCGAGGCGCGCGATCCCTGCAGAGGGTTCATCGGGCACAGCACGAACACGCGAAACGTGGAGAACGATAGGGGACTCACTAAAAGTAGAATGAATACACCCCACACAGCAAATATAGACGCTGGCTCATATATATGCTGAACCCCCCCCATGATCCACATTTGGCATTGTTGCATTGTGTGGTCTCAGCTTTGGCTCCTTAGTTTGACACCGTAGTGTAGAAAAAATGGCTGAAGTACTCTTAGCCCGACTCCCAATGGAGGCTGCTAAAATAATAAAAGCCATGGCAATGAACGCCACGTTTTGCTTTCAAGAGGTGAAATGTGGATCTTGGGGGGGTGACCAGAAATATATATATATATATACACATGTAAATCTCTATATATATATATATATGTAAATATACATATATGTATAAAACAGTTGCATACATGTGCGTTGGGTGTGTGTTTATATAAACCTGTTGGGTGTTGTTCAGGAAAAGCCTGTTGGTGTTTGTTACTTGGAAGGTATAAACCCAAGGCAGGTGACGGTTTTTTTGTAGAAACCCAATGAGTTTTTAGAAGAACCTGTTTTTTTGCAGAGAGTTGACCAATGAGACCCACTTTTAAGAGCGTTGGTATTCGGAGGTGATCCGCAGGCTCCGCTTCTCGCACCAACGTTCAGAAACCCTGGTGTTTGATGATTCCCCTGTAAAAAAGACAAACAATGGTTTCAACCATGGTTTCCAAGTGGTGCAGGATTTCAGCCATCAGTAGGGGTACTCCCCTCCAATAGTGATGAGTCCCCACCAAACCAGGGACACCACCCCTATTACTGGTTTGTTCATCCGGGGTTCCATAACCAATCAGCTTCTCTGTGCTTAGGATTTGTTTGAGTGATTTTGAGGGGTAAAGTCAAACTGCTTGGTTGTTTCCCTTTTAACCCACCACTCATAGAAGGTGACTTAAATTAAACAAAATCAAGGGCCAGTCTGATTGGTAGTTTGGAGCCCTGTGCTTCGTTCCGGGACTAAACCCCAGCTGATTTCTTCTTAACTCCGAGCTCCGAGCGTGAACCAGGCCAAGTGGCACGTGAGTTACTCCTTTGTCACTTGGCATTTTTCGAAAAAACAATAAAGGATATTGAATGATAAAGATGTCCTCTTCTTCTGTAAAACGGTTTGGATATGGATTTTGTGGATAATATAGGGGGAAGGCCAAGTGAATTCTACAAAGATCGCATCCAAACGGTTTTCTAGATTTCTTGTAAAGGGTTGACCTCACCCCCTACAAAAAGCGGGTACTTGGAGTAGGGGTCTCCTTAGCTGTTGCTCTGGCTTTCGACACAGGGTACAAATGTAAGTTCTTACGAGTTGCCGGGCGCTTGTCATTGTATCCCCTACTACCCTACACCCGCCCAAAAAAGCCGGCATATGGTCTGGAAACAACCAACCCCAAAAACATGCTTTTTGGAGCAAGGGGTCACCTCAAATGGTACCATGTCCGGTAAAGGCGATTGCCTTGGACAGTTTGGTGTTTTGCTGATACTTCAGTGTCGCTTCGCCATCATCGGTCGCGCTGGGATGGCCAAGTTAGTAAGTGGTTCGCCACTTGGATTAATAACAGGGTTAAACCCCGGGTTACCAACTAACTTGGCTGCCAAGTACGAACTGAACAAAGCGGGGTGTTGGATATGGGGGTAACCTATTTGCCCGTAGGTTGTAGATCCTGTTGAGTGTTCAGTGTTTCTGATATTCCCCACACCCCATGCCTACAATATACAAACTTCCTGAGTTCATGGATGATATTTGTGGGGTTGGAACCCTGCTAGTGGCATACACCAAGTGTGCCATCCACTCTCGAAGAGAGTATATGTACATATATATATATGTATATCATGAGTGTATGTGTATATGTACTGCAATGCAATGCAATGTAACGTATGTATTGTATGTGATGTAATGCAATGCAATCTAATGTAATGTAATGTAACGTAATGTATGCAATGTATGCAATGTATGTGTGCATGTATGTAAAAGTATGCTACATAATTTAATGTAATGAGTGCAATGCAATGTAATGTGTTAAAACCCTCTAGGCCCCGTGCCGAAATTGGGTAGCAGTTCTGAGGTCCTTGTTGGTGTTGCTTCCCAAGTTCCATTGATCGCCATTTGGCTCAAGACACATTTGAGGTTCAAGATCCGATGTGTGACTGCGGATCTCCGTGATTGGCACAAAGAGCAAAACAACCGCTTGCGCCGCAGGGTCAGGACTACTGCTGTGATTATCATTCCTTCTTCCTTACAACGTTTACACGGGTTCGGCTATAACGGCATCGTCCGTATACACCTTTCTACGTGGTTGGTATTGAAGCTTGAGGGTTCGGTGCACAGCGTCCCACGGGACGTCACCTTGCCGTCTCTTGACAGGTTATCAGCCGTAATCTACAAGCTCTACACTGGACTGGGAGACAGCTGGTTTATTGCGGGTACAGGGACGATAAAGGAACGATAACATACACAGTACAATGGCGTCTTCGGCGAGCCCAAGTACTGCAACTTTTGGGAACAGCAGCTCAGAGGGATCCAATGGATTGATGGCTCTTCCTGCGGTGATGGATATGGTTGCAGATTCACAGGATGAACCTGGGAGCGGAGGTTCCGCGCTATTCAGCGACATATCTACTCCCACAAGATCATGGAAGCAGATCGATGTTCATCAGGAGTCGAAGAAAAGAGAATCCCCACCGAGAAGATCATCATCTTCGCCTGCGACACCACGGACGTCGCAGAAGGGCGTGAGATCGACATCGAAGGGTGGGAGGTCAAAATCACCCACCAGTGCAGATTTTCGCGCCGTGATCAAAGAGAAGAATAAGATGGAGGTGGAGATCGGGGAATATCAGAAGACACTTGATGAGATGTCGGCAGCAATGGCGAATCTTAACCAAGAAGACTATGGAAGCACCATCCGGATCCAGGAGCTGGAAAGACGATGCGAGATTGCCAGCAAGCAGTCGGGACATCTAGTGAGTCACCACCAACACCACATGGCTGAGGCATGGCGCAAGTTTGAGGAAGAAGCCCAACAGATGCGCAAGGTGGAAATGAACGCATTTCAGTACGGGGAGAAGAAAGACATGGAGTCGAATATTATAATGCAACAGATGAGGCAAGCTGAAGGAACTATCATGGAGCAGAAGCGGGAGATTGCATTGATGAATCCTACATGGCAAGCGAGAAGTCGGCCGCGCAGGAATCAGCTATACGTGCAAATCAGATACACCGTGAGGCTTCACAACAGATATCAGCCTTATCAGCAACAGATCAGAGGCATAGAATCTTCTACATCTATCGAGAAGTTCAACGAGGAGGAGATGGTCCAAAGTCTGAAATCACAGTTGGAGCATGCACTCGTCAAGCGCCCCGAGACGTACTCTTTGGAGGACTCCAGGGAACAGCTGATGACGAGGCTGAATGACGTTACAGTATTTGCGGAACAGGAATCGAAGAGAGCAGATTGCTTGCTTCGCGAAAAGAAGAGATCGTCAAACAGTATGAGTCCGACGTGTCGATGAAGGACCAGATGATTGCTGTCGAAGGTGGTCATCGTCAGGATGCGATCTTGGAGTTAGCCCAGGTCAAAGAAGAGAAACAAGAGGAACGGTGCACGATGGACGAGAAGTCGAAGGAGGCTGAGTACTGGAGATTGACAGCTAAGGGAATGTACGATGAGTACCTCGAGGAGATGCATGAGCTTCAGAGACAACTGAAGGAAAGAGAGGCGACGCTCAAGCAAGAAGAGAGTTTTGTACGCCAACTCGATGCTGACAACGAGGAACTACGTGCACACAAGAAGCTGGAGACACAGGAAGCCTCCAGCAGCAAAGATGGACATCGTGAACGAGCAGTAGTGAAACGCGCTGAGGGAGGAACCCAGGCTAATTCAAATAGGATAGACAAGAAGGTGGCTGGGTCAGTCCCGTCATCGTCTTCAAATC